GAAGGGGATGAGTTGGCGTATTTCTAAATTTGCGCGTGAAGGATGCCATTATTAAAGTCATTCCAAATTCGCCAACCTCTTGTCTGTTCATATTGAATATAATTTTATCACTTTTACGTTTTGTTTGTCTCGTTTAACCGATAAAAAATTATAATAACATAAAAAGAAGGAAAAAAGATTACTTAGACATAATTCATTATTTAAGTATTGATTAAACAACCCATGTGAAGATTTGAGCCATAGATTGTAATTAAACTTCTTATGAAGGAAATTAATCCTCATAAGAGGTCAGACTACTAAATTTCCAATGCAGGAAAAGGGTTCTAGTTCAGGAAATTATGATAAGACAGGAATGAGCAATGTCTGTCACACACAAAATAAAAATAATAATAATAATAAAAAAAATACAAGTACAAGTGTCAATAAAGCATGAGAAAGGATCATGTGGACCACATTAAATTAGGTGAAGTGATTGTGGTACATTGCATTTATTAATGATACATGACTCAGTAACTTAACCAAACCATGATTTTTGGAAGGCGAAATCCCAATTATTTTATTTTCAGTAGCTAACTAATCAGTTTCTTAAACATTATCTCATATAATTGGTAGGCCCAAATGCCACTCCTTTGCACCCTATTAAAGTGAACTATAATCATTCCCACTTTTCAAAATCTGCTTAGGTCTTCTTTCAAAATGATTTGTATTATAATTATATATTACTTTTGAAGTTATCTACCCATCCATCCAAGCAAAAGTGACTAATCTCTTCACATCAATATGGTGAAATGATTTGCATCAATCAATACAACACACTAGTACTACTCATTGTCTCTCTCAACGCCTCTCTCTCTCTCTGTACATACATACATACATATATATGTGGGTGTGTGTGTCTGTCTCTGTCTATGTCTATGTCTATGTCTATGTCTCTCTACGAATATGATTCATACGAACACGTAGAATAACAATTCAAAGTTCAAGCCACTTTGCAATACTGTATTTATAATAGAATGAATCTAATTGAAAGACCACGACCTTGTTTGTTTAGAAGCTTATACATTACTAGTACATTTTATTTTTGAGAAAATTCCAATTAGTATTATTTGTCCAATTGCCAAAAGGTTTAGCCGTAAAAATATTGGATCTAATAATATATGTCAAGTGCTAACACCCTCTCCCACATGCATCCCATCTTGAAAACAGATCAAATCAAGATCACAATAAGTGCAAACATGCACATCAAACTTCAACTCAAGAAATTTCAAATCAAAGGAGTTGCTTGGTTAAGTTATTTTTTAAAAAAATAATAAAATTATTACAAACAACTTAACCAAGCAAGTTCTTTGATTTGAAATTTCTTGAGTTGAAGTTTGACGTGCATGTTTAAATTTAAAAAATAAAAAATTATATAAAAAATTATTTAGTTGACTGGTTTTTAAAATATATTTTTGATAACTCGGTTGAAAAAAATGCATGTTTTCATATAATTACTGTCTTTTACCAAGTACGCCTAATCATGCAAGTGCCGGATTTATTTCTGAATCCAAAAGCTCGCGTTCAAACCTTGCACCCCCGTCCTCCCCTCTAACTACTAATCTCCCTCTAACCACTAACCGTACTCTAACAATCTTGCCATTAAAAATAAATAAATAAAATAAAGAATCCAAGAAGTAGGCCTAAGCATTCATACATTGTCCCAAAGCTTAAACTGTTAAAGAATGAGCCTTGTCAAGCTATGTCAAGCTCTAGCATTATTTATTTAAACATTTATATATATTTATATATATCACACATATATGAGTTGGAAGATCATGATAAAAAAGTACAAAAATCTACACTATGCAATGTGAAAAATATAAAGGCCCACTAACAGACATGTGGTTTAGCGGTATCAGGACCCTACTTTTCAAAAGGAGGTTAGGAGTTCGAGCCTTCATAGAGGCATGTGTGTGTAAGTACTAACTAGGAAAAAATATATATATAAAGGCCCTGCCTGTATTAGAACTCTCAAAACAATTTTCTATTGTGAGAGTTACAAAAATCCAAAAACAGTCTTTTAAGAATTCAGATAACAGAAAATTGTTCTCAAAGAATAATCTTTTATAGTTCATTGAAAATAAGCATTTTTATAACTGAGTTTTCAGAAAATAGTTTTCTAAAAATTGAACCAAGTAGAAATTTTTATACTATTTTCTGTTTTCGTTGTTAATAGTATTATCTTTTTTAGTTCTTTAAAAACTATTTTTGAAAACTCTCTTGAGAGTTACAAATTAAGTAAGGCCAAAGTAACTAGAGACTAAGATGTCTGAAAAGTGGGATTCCCTTGGGACCATAGTCACAAATTTAATTATGATTTGTTCTAAATTACATCATTAATGTCATGTCCACAATCAAACATAGCATTATTTAGTAAGAATCATAATAATGTTTTTGTAATTGATGCTCTCATTTTAGATAGATTAACAATATGAAAACTGTTTGTAGTTAATTTAATGGCTTTGAGCAACTATATTTCTCTATTTATACACGCATCTATGCTGTATTCTCGAAAAGTAAGTCCTCTGTTCTTTAATTTCTCTTTCCTTTTATTTACCCAAAAAAAATAAAAAAATAAAAAAAGATAATAGTATTAACAATAAACCTACAGGATTAAGTATAACTTTGAGGACTGCTTGATATTTGATTCAGTTGGCAAAAATTATGAAAAAGATCAGTTTATAATTAGATTGTAATTAAGGGATATAAACCTTGTGTTAATTAAATATAAAATAATGGTCAGGGTCTTATCATGAAGATGTTAAAGGATCAACAACCGATTGGATTGAATGACGGTTACATGTGGATTCTCTGTGTCCAGAAAAACAGCCTTTCCAATAAAGCAAAAAACATAATTTAGTTGAAAGTACTACAAGAATTCCAATATGTTGGACTTAAATCATAAACCAATATTATATTTTGTCTTTCACTTTGTATAGTTTGATTTGGCAACCAAGAGGCCCTCAAATGATTCATTTTGATTTGCTCCTACATTCAATAAATTAGGAGCTAGCTGATGGAAATAATAATGAAAAAACTAAAAGAAAGGCAAACCCGAAATGTTCTTTCGTTTCTTGTTTTGAACTATTCATCTACGAGACATAATATTAGAAGGCTCAAATTCTTGATCTTTCTTTAAAAAGTAAGGATCTGGTACCGCTATGCTACTGACCTATTGATAACAACCTTACTGTTTTCTCTAGTCTCACCCTTAATAATGAAAAAACTCTGAATTAATTTTAATGAGGTTGATTATATGTAATTGGATTCCTGCAATGAAGCTTATTTTACTCACTAAATGAAGTTTATTTGAACCAATATATTTTGAGGATGGTTTTACTCGGTGCAAAAAATTTTATATGATTTTTATGACGTTTTTACATCTTCGTAACCAAACTAAATGATGAAGCCAAAAGTTATGAACGTTCACAAGAGAATTTTGAATTCACAAAGTTAGAAGAGATTTAATTACCCAAAAAAAAGAGATTTGCAAATAAATTAGATAATATTACAAGTCCTAAATTATAAGAAAACTATAAAAAAAACATTATAAGGAAACATAAATATCAAAACAAAACTAACACAAAAAATAAATCTAAAAATCAACTTTTTTTCAAAAATTAAGAAAAAGTAGAATTAGAAATCTAATCACTTAAAGCTACTAAATATAAAAATTAAGAACATTTCTAATTCGTTTAAGCCGGAAGAAAATGTCGAAATAATCAACAAGCTCCTATAAGTCAGAAAAAACGGCTAAAAACTACTAAATATAAAAATTAAAAACATTCCGAGTCCATTTAGATCGACCACAAATGAAAAATCTCAAAATAACCAACAGGTCTCTTATAACTAAAAAAAAAGAGGGGATTTTAAGGTCTTAAATGATGGATTTTGGCCAAAAAAAACAACGCATAGCACTTGATCCGTTTTCACTCCAAAAAATGTTCTTTCGGGTAAAAAATGGACAATTCAGCATTGCCCACAAAAACGTGTCTATATAGCCTTCGACAAATTTTTTATTTTTTGGAATGTTAAGCAAATTGTATAGATATGCAAAGTAATTACAGAGGTCTCCAGCTTGGGCTGGAGAACAAAGCCATTGGCCCAATAAGTGTGCATTGCATAGACATGTTCTTCATGTGTGTGTGTGTGTGTGTGTGAATGATAATATAGCATTTTAATGACCTTACACAGGCCTAGCTTTTTTTCTTTTTTCCCGGTATGTCAGAGGCCTAACTTATATGCAAATTAAGAATATATAATAGAATTGATTGGTAAATTAACCATTACATCTCTCGACTTTGTTCTTCTCAAGAACTTAATTCAACTTAATTATCCTGATTTTACATGCATGTAAGTCAACAGTGGCCGGTGTTCCAAACAAAATCAATGTTAGTTTACATTTGATTAATTAATGGCCAGGCAGATTAGTATATATAATCATTTAACTTTTTCAGCAGATATATAGTGCATAAAATGAGTAATGGTATGAAGAATCTGCTGACGAGGTATCAAATATACCATGATCTGGGAAGCAAATCAAAGGAAAATCCGGGTGAAGAACATATAGATCGAGAAAGATGAAAATAACAAGTGGCAAAGTTAAGTTGTACGTGAAGTTGGTTAATTACGTAATACTACTACAAGTCTACGTAGAAAGTGAAGATGAGTTGAATAGTTTCAATATTATGATATGGTCGATGCAATGTCTTTTTATGGTTAGGTGGAAATATGGGTCCCATTCACTGCTCATGTCGGCGCCAAGCACTCCCAAACCATTTCAACAAGGCCGCTGGAGAGAAGCTACAAGTCCAGTGATTTAATTTGCTGCTAATTACCCATTCCATTATATATATATATATAGAGCGACACACACACACACAAACAGATCAATCACGAGATCGAATACAACTATACAAGAGCTGAAAGAGCAAGAGTAGAATTATTAATTAATTAAGGTAATGGGTGGTCACCACACTTGCTGCAATCAACAGAAAGTGAAGAGAGGGCTTTGGTCACCTGAGGAAGATGAAAAGCTTATTAGATTCATCACCACTCATGGCTATGGCTGTTGGAGTGAAGTTCCTGAGAAAGCTGGTCTTTTTTCTCTCTCTCTATCCATATATGTGTGTGTGTATATGTGTATATATATGGATGTGTCTTAATTTTGTTTTTGTCTGTTGGGTTTTAGGGCTCCAAAGATGCGGCAAGAGTTGTCGCCTGAGATGGATCAACTACTTGAGACCTGATATTAGAAGAGGAAGATTCACTCCTGAGGAGGAGAAGTTGATTATCACCCTTCATGCCGCTGTAGGCAACAGGTATAATATATATATATATATATATTAACTAACTCTATCTCCTCTAGCTCTTCCGGCCATTCCTAATTAATTAATTAATTGAACCCAAATTACTTTTATATTAATATATATTCTATATTATTTGGACGGTATATGTTGCCTAACTCATGGGTATATATATGTACATGTTGTAAAATTGAAGGAAACTTCAATTTGGTCTAAACCATTCATCAGACATAACTACACTTTGCTAGACAAAACAAATGTGACTTTTCAGTTATTAAAATAAAATATTGGTCTGCCTAATCAGTTTATTGTCATAGTACTACACCTACATTCCTTTCTTAGTTAAATGCTAATATATATATATATATATATATATATATTCTTTATGATACTGAAAAGCTAAAGTGCATTAGGTTTACAGTCCCATTTATATATTGTCAGTTCATAAAGTAATTGGTTCCAAGAACACTCTAATTGTAATTTGTAACTAATTAAGTTTTAAATGAGCTAATGTTTCGAGCTCTAACTCTTGAATGCGAAAAATTGTAGATGGGCTCACATTGCTAGCCATTTGCCTGGGAGAACAGACAACGAAATCAAGAACTACTGGAATTCGTGGATCAAAAAGAAGATACGAAAGCCGTCGCCCCCATCAACAACTACTGCTACACCTAGTAATACCAATCAGCATTCCCTATTTGGTACTAGTACTTATGCTGAGAATCAACCAAATTTCTTGAGTCACGATCATCATCTGGCGGCAACGTCAAACCCACCGGTTCAAGATACCCTATTTTCTTCCCCTAGTCCCTTATTCATGTTCGAAACCGGTTCAGTAGTACTTGATGGGATAGATGGTGACCGTGATCATAGAAGGACCGAGCTTTTCCATGAACCGGCAGGGTTGAATTCGGGAACTTGGCATCCTAACCAACAAGAAGTTCAAGCACAAGTACTTCCCCCTCCACCATCTAATTTTACAACAGGTGGTATGAACACCAACTATATGCCGCCATTTTGTAGTATGAATGAGGAAGTAGAGCTTGCTCTGGAATGCTTTCAAAGACAGCAGCAATCAAATGAATGGGTTGATCATCAAGAATCCCAACACTGCCCAAGCTTTCTGTTTTGGGACCAGGGTGAAGGACAAGTACTGAGTGGGCAAGAAATGGCGCCAACCTCATCAAACATTGGAGCTATGCTATCTTCTTACCCTTCATCTTTATGATACATATGTATTAATTTATATCTATCTATCTATTTATATATATGTGATGGTTGTAACTGAAAACAATTTGCTTGTATTTGATTTCTTTTTTGTACTAATGTTTGCACTGGTGAGCTTTTGAAATGAGAGGAAATATAGTAATATATATTTGAGCATGCATGCAATGCTTGTTGGTTTGTGGAAAATTAACACAAGAGGAAAACAATAAATTAATTACGACAAAGAATCAGCAAAGGTTGGTTTGTACTGATGAGATGGTTTTTGTAAGCTAGCTCGTTAGTTAATGCCACTGTGTTTGTCATGGTGTTGATTAATATATGGCCTTTTCTTTTTCTTTTTTCCAATTAATGTCCAACTTTATTGACATTCCCATGTACGTTTTTCAGGCCAGTTGATAGGAAAAGAGGAAAAAAAAATAAAAATAAAAAATTAATAAAAAATAAAAAACATTACTCAATAATGGTCCCACAACATTAGCAATGCGATTTCTTGTTGAAGCTGATAACAGCTTTTCTTACTATTCAATAATTAAGAAAAAATATGGATCACAACTAATCTTTAAATGTCACAATCAGACTCGAGAAAAGGGAGCAACAACAAGCAACATGGCAAGTTGATGAAGCAAAGACGCCATGCATTATGGTGTCAACTGTCAATTCGAGTGAAAATCAACTTAATTTATTAGATGATTCTAGGAATTATATTAAGTCAGATGTATCATCAGAATTCCTAAAGAAGCTTTAGATCATTTTGGAATGATAACCTTAGTTTGAAAAAAAAAAAAATGATTATAAAGGCCAAATGGTTCATATTCATTAAAATATCTGAAACATTAAGGCTCCGTTTGTTTCGATATACAATATTTTTTTTGAAAAATATATTTTTTTCAGGTAAAATATTCTTTTATTTTTACTATGTCGGTATTTGGCAAAGGTCTAGGTTGAAATTGAGGTCGAATCCATCGGGCGGGGGCACGTAAGATAACTTGCCGAAAATTTATGGATAAATTATTTTTGTTAAACTTCAATATTTTTTTCTTCGACAACCAAACACAGAAAATAAAAAAATATTTTCTTGAAAATATTTTACATTCAAACAAACAGAGGTTAAATGAGATGCAGAGATGGTAAGAGCAGTAGTAATATTGGTAATAAAAATAATAATAACAATAGAGGTTAATTATATAAAACTCCTCTAAACTATCAAAAAATTTGCATTACGGCTTGTACTAAATTGAAGTTTTAACAAATTAATAACCACCTTGAAATATTTAAAGAGTTTGCAAAGCACTCCCTTTCATCAAGTTACCTTAAATCAAAGCATTGGTACTTTTTGAAACTCTCCTGGACACATATAATAATCAATAGTAGGATTGTTGGCCCTGTTTACAAGCTTTCAGCAGCAGAAAATGGATCTTCTCCAGCCAAATATCTCTCCTAAGTTTGGTAGGCCACAATCCTATCGTTTAGATCTAGGAGAGAGAATTGGTCCTTAATGTGCAATTTTGTTATAGTTAGAGGCTTCATGCAATTTTCCTCATTGATTTTAGATGGAGTTTAGCATGCATGATGCTTTCTTGCCTAATATTTCAGAGATCTCTCTGGCTCCCATCACTTTAAAGAAATAGCGGAAGAGATGCATAAGAGTTATGAAAGAATCAGGATCCCCTGCTTTGCGGAGGGGATAATGTGTCCATGTGCTGATCCTGCATCGGTGTTGTTTTGGTGCACATGCAGAGAGATTAACTCGGGTTTTATGTTAAGACTTCACACTGTGCATTAAAATGATATTGTTGAATCAGGATTCCCGCTTGCGGAGGGAACAATGTGTCCACGTGCAGTATCGGTGTTGCTTTAGTGCATATGCATACAAGGGCAGAGCCAGTGTGTGTCCAAAGGAGGCACATGCCCCTCCTGGCCTGGTCCTGCCTACTATAAAATATATAAATTTTTATTTTAATTTATACATTTATAAGAAAATTTATATATATTGCCCCCCTAAAATTTTAAATTTCTAAAATTATCTTCTAAATTTTTCTTTCCTTTTTCTTTTGCTCTTAATATTCCATTGATTTCCTTAAAAAAAAGTTAAATTTTTCTTCTTTACTCCAACTTTAATTTTTTTTTTTTTTTTCTTTCCTTTCAAATTTTTTTTTTTTTTTTTTTCTTATTAATTTTTTTTGGGTCCCCTACTTCTTAACATTCTTCTTTTTGCACTTAAGAATGATGTATATGGTATATAATTTTTTTTTTTTTTTGGTTCTTATTTAAATTATAAATATATATTTTTTTACATTGAGCCCCCTTTGAATTAAAATCCTAACTCCACCCTGCATGCAGAGAGATTAACGTGGATTTTATATTAAGACTCCACACTGTGCATCAAAATGATACTGTTGAATCTCTTCTACACATTTGGTGAAGGGAAAATCTTATTGCAGTTGAGAAAACCTCGATGCTTCAAGATCCTAGTTTCTGATCCCTCCCGCCAACCCAAAAAAAAGAAAAAAAAGAAAAAGAAAAAAAGAAAGGGTTTCCAGTTTAGATTTTGTTGGGAAGGAAAACAAATTAATCAATAAAAATCTTAACAGAATTTCATTAGAATACATACAAGTATGTCTGTATCTATTGTTCCATAATGTGAGATGCCAAAGCAATCGTATTTAGTCAAAAAGAAGAGGTTGAAAGGAGGATCACATGTTTCTTAAATGTGATATAACACAAGCCTGCCTTTCAAAATGGTCCCCAACCTAGCTAGGTTCATAACCCTGACCTATTTATTCTTTCAAGTGTTCTTTACTATCATAATTTGATTAATTACTAATCTGGTTGGTGGCCCCACATAATACTTACTTAAAAACCTAATCCTCCTAGTGCGTCTTACCGACACTTATAAAGTCTCGATCTTGAGTCCTCATAAGCCCCAACATTCCCATTGAACCTAGCAACAATGCTGTACATAACTTCAAAAATTTTAAATTCGATAATCTGAATCATAGTGTCTTTGTTTCCCAACACTAGATTTTTGTAATCAGTGTTAATTATGCTACACATGGGAATAATGGAAATCAATTGATCATACATATGACTTAATTGCCCTAATCAGAGCATTATGATTTTTCAAGCGTCACCAAGATTTCATCCCATAATTGTCACAGATTGTCAATATTTTGTGTCTTTTTCTTAGTTTTTCTGGAGTGGGTTCCTTCTCTTGGTCAAAACAAATTATTTAAAAGCAAAGATACAGTGCCAGTTACTTTTTCCATCACGTGTCACTACTAAATTTTAAAAAAGTCTCTAGAATAAATCCACAATCCATTAATGCAAAGTGATAAGATTAGTGACCACCTAATCAATGATAGTGCAACATGTTTGTGTAATGATGTTCATACACGCCATGGCCATTCGTGTACATATATGCATATATGTAATTATATATGTGAGGTTGTGTTGTCTAATGATGCTCATACATTGCAGCAATTGCATGTGTTGGGTTTTTCTTTATAGTTTCTAAGGTAAAGAAACTGCAGTGCAAATATGAGTGATCATAGCTATGATAACAGAAGACCAAATTAGTGTTGGTTTTTTCTTATGCAACAAAAGATACAATGGACTAGTTTACGATTCTGAGTGAATAACAAAAAAATAAAAAATAAAAATTGGTCACGAAGTGTAGCAGTTTAGATAGTTTAGACCGTCAACTGTAACCGTACTCTTTCAAAGGCTGACATCATGAGGTAAGCCTAACAGCTTTAGACGGAACTGGAACTCAAATAATATATACTCCGTATATGCTACAAGTAAAATAAAAATACTGAAAATATAGGATATATTTAATATACAGAAAACATAGCAATATATTAATGAGCTGTCCTCTAATTACTTTGTACATGAAGCCTAGGTGATTCCATACTTTGTTATGCAAACCTCTGTCTTTAGCAATGCAGGGGAGCAATTCTCATATTAATTTGTGACGGAAAAGGATGTCTTTCCCTTTCAAAGTGTTCAAATCAACAATTGACACATCAGTGGATAATAATACTGATTCAGGGTTTTTATCATTTTCCATTTCTTTTAAGCAATTGCCCCAACATTATTAGAGCTGCCTGTGCATGAAGCTTAAATAGTTGTCTTAAACCAGGAAAGATAATCATTCATTAAAAAGGCTATTCATATAAATTCAAATATTGCTTCTCAAGGAAACAATTAAAAGTGATGTTGATGAGTACATATAGTTTCTGCCTCATAAGTATTTTCCAGAAGAACACGTCTGAACTTCAAGCTGATCAATTGGCAGGCTGTCTGTTGGAAAATTACATGCTGCAATCTTCTCTGGTCCTTGGTCTGGCAACAGGTCACATGGCTGAGGAATCACACCACTCGAAATCCCTGCAATATCAGTGCAAGTCCACGGAGCTTTTTTCGACATCTTTGCCAATTCAATTGTGACATTAGATAGGCAAATCCCGGTGAATGGATCCCCGGAAATTCCCTCCAACCTAGCTGCCATTGTCACATTCTTAGCAACCACGTCGCGGTAATTGATATTCTGGATCACTGGAATTGCGTTTGGATCATAGTTGTTATCAGCATGGGAGCCATAATTTCCTGTCATCCAAAAAGCCCATTTCATGGTTTCCATGGTCATCCCTCTCAAGTAAATGTCCTTCACATACCCTCCCCTTCCTACTGCTGTTTTGATCCTAACTCCTGATTCTGTATTGATGGCTACAATGTCCTCGGCCCTAACATCTTCGATCCCACCAGACATTTCACTGCCAAGAGCAATCACTGCGCTAAATGGAGAAATGCACGTGAGCCGTCTAATTACAAGCTGTTTGGTTGGCATCCCAAAAGCAATACCATATTCATCCCAACCACTTTTAACGGCTACACAATCGTCTCCAGAGACAATGTAGCAGTCCTCAATCCGAGTATTCAAGCAAGAGTCTGAACATCATACATAACATAAAAGTAAATAGTTAGAACAATGCTTCTAGCATGTTAGACATATTTGATACTCGACAAACTTATGTCTGAATTGAGTTCATTTGTGCTTAATTAACCTTGTAGGCTTGTGAGAACATTTAAATTCCAATGTGGTTACCTGGATTAATCCCATCAGTGTTTGGAGATGTGACTGGTGCTAGAATTGTAATGCCTTGAACAACAACATTTCTGCAATTTGTATATAGAATCAAATTGTGTTTATCAGTGCTGCTTGTAACATGAGGAAGTATATAAATGTTGTAAATGTTAAGTAATTAGTACCAAACAAAACCAACTGATGCAACTTTTAAGATGAGAGACAGAGAGGGAGACCTGCTGTAAACAGGATGCACATTCCATGACGGAGAATTAACCAAAGTGAGATTAGATATCTGGATATTTTCCGAGTACATGATTTCTATCAGGTAAGGACGGGTGTAATTTAGCTCTCCCTTGTGGAACTTTCCCCACCAGAGATCTCCCTGACCATCAATAGTGCCATTTCCCCCTGAAAATCAAATAGAATCCGCGTATATATGCTTGTACTTGATCAGAACATGGTAAGCTTCATTTTTTAAAAATATCAATAGCTCAACTACAAATGTTTGTGCTTGGTAGGTACCTGTTATTACTACGTCAGTGAGGTTGGTTCCAAATATAAGACTGATATACCGTCCACCGGCTGTATCCCTTCCACGGCCATAGGATGGCAGGGGTTCAATCACAGTCCACTCATTCACATCCTATACCAATTTGCAGAAAATGATAAGCAGACATCATTATAAACCCTTAACTCAATCTACACATTAATATTTTCGGACAGAAAAAAATAAATAAATAAATAAATCAACCACTGTCTTATAGTTTGAGTGTTGTCATATTCTCACTTCATGCTCATGGTTCTATTTCTAACTGATGACATCCCCTGTTGAAGGAACCTTTTTTCACTTAAATATGGCTAAAATTCGGGAATGAATCATGGTAGCGAATAAGCCAAGAAGAGAAAGGACAACAAAATAAATAATAATAATATAGAGAAATAATTGATGTGAGTTCAGCAGGATTGAAACCTGAAGCCAAAAATATTATTATGTTACTCGTATATATTAAAATAAGATCCACAAATGTGCTACCACCACTCGTCAAGTTTAGCTCAATTAATTACCTTAAGACCTGTAAACATATCATCAAAGAAAACAAAACTATATGCATTTAAAACCTAGGATCCTTCCAGATTTTATGCACCAAAATAAGTGTCTAGATTTTGATTTTAGAGCTCAACTTGAACATTTTAATCCTGACTATTGGGATAGCAAATTTGAAAGGAAGATTAGATGGTTGTGTAAGGTCCAAGTCACAAGTCACATGATACTTGAGCTACATAAACTCCCTTGGCTTATTCTTTATGGTATGCCACATTTTACCCAAAAAAAAAAAAAGGGGATGTTTATGTCACAGTTTGTTCAATTCTAGGAATTTTAAATCTGACTTTTTATATACTAGTCACAGGCCTACATTTTGTGAGGTGAATGCAACCAGTCCAAACCCTTTTCCAGTACATGCCTCTGCTTCAACTATAAAGTATTAGTGCTAGCATATGAAGACAGTATAATTAGAAGCCATAATACAATTGGAAATTGGTACCGAAGACAGTTGAGTTTGTCAAGTTTTTACACAAAACAGATTAAAACATATGTTAATTGCAATGCAAAACACTCAAAATTGAAAATATGAATGTTGGGAATGTAATTGGACAAACATATTGGTCAATGCCTACATATTTTGTGTACATAGATACACATATTTACATATATGGTAACAGAGTAATTAACAGTTAAAAAGCCATTTGAGTATCAAACCTGAGAAGCAAGAAGAACAGCATCTTTATGGAGAAAAAGTGTGAAATGGCTGGTGACATTGAAGCTCCCTGTCAACCATCTTCCGGCTGGGACAATGAGCTGCGAGCCACCATCTGATTCAAACTGGCTAAGATGATTTATTGCTGCCTTAAACGCCTCTGTGTTCGATGTTATTCCATCACCTACTCCTCCAAAATCCGTCAGCAACGCGCTGTGAGCTCTGCAACTTATAGCCATGTACTCGAAGTTTTCTGGAACACAAGCTTTCTGGCCATCAACACTGCTAATGCTCAGTAAAATCAGCAGAACAAATGCTGAAACCATCTCAATGACCTGTAATATTCGAAAAGGAAACGAAAAAAAATATGTACCCATGAATGGAAACTCCAAATTTTATGTACCTATGTATATTTTGTCTATGTATGTATCAGAATACAAAGTATTCAAGGTTAAGAGGCAATGTTAAAGAACAAACAAAGCTACCAGACAAGTCTTCCACTAATAGAATAGTAGTATAATTCCAAGAAAAAAGATTCTAAATGCAAGAGTTGAGCTTTACTTGAGTTCTTCTGGGACTTCTTGAAAACTCCATTGTAGGTAAGCCAGTTGGGATTTGTTTTGTTGCAGGCACAAAATGGAGTGAGTGCATATCTATATATAGCTAGGCTGCAGTACTATGACAAACTACAACCAGGAGTTTGTATGTATATATATTTATAAAAAAATGTTTTTGTTTTCTGACAATTGTGGATTAGAAGAAATTAAAATAAACTACAGTGAATTCCAAATTGTGTTTGAAAAATTATACCGCATGTGATAACCAAAAACAGAATTTACCTCGCTGTTGAGTTTAAAGTATTAACTATTGATGTTGATCAAAACCTCATCTCATCACTTGTGCACCTATAAACTAGATTAGGAATTGCTATAATTTTTTATGAAGTACTTGAAGGAACATGTGCAAAGGAATTATATATAGAACTTCGCAAATAAGTCATCCATTCTTTTATAGGATGCAATGGATGCAGGGTTATATTTGCATGACATTGATCATTCAAGGTGGTGAGTTTATATATAATTCAGTGATACTTGCTCAATTTTTATAGTATAAAGTCAAGGATTCAAGTTTTACGGGTATAGAGGTGTGCGAGTTTCTCGCCACCATTAAAAAAATAAAACATAAAGCAAAAATTCCTTACCATTATCAGACACGGATACTGGACGGAAACTAGACTACAGATAACAAGGCAAGCTTTTCACTATTTAAAGCTAAATCAAGAATTTATTTAATCAAAATGAAAGTTGGTTGGAGTCGTGCCCCTATTCAACCTTATTTATTTATTTACTTATTTATATGATCATGGAATCCTTATCAAATGTTTGTGGCAGCTGATGGTACCTTATTTTTTAGTCAGTCCAAGCTCCCTTTAATTTAATTTAATTTAATTTTTTCTCTTGTTAAACCTCCTTTCTTTTGTTCTTTAGAAATAAAAAAGAAAATGCAAGAAGAATAATGGCCTAGTGCCGAACTTCAACTTTTTTTTCCATATCTTGAACATGAAGATATGATTCCAAATTCCAATACAATGCGCACTAAACAAATTCCATTGCCCACTTCCTTTGTTATTCATGAATCAACCCTTGTGTATATACACACATATACCCTGTACTACAGTATATAATATATTGGATACCTATTTAAGTATTTCTTGGCTGATAATGCAGTGTAATGTAGTTGGTGGGCCCAAGATCATGGCACCTTTGTCAGAGATTGGTAGCCCTAACATCCCGTGACACTCTCTCTCTCTCCTCGAACACACATTTTATTGCCTCAAGCCATATCTTCAATATTCACGGGTGTCGGATAAGTGGAGTGCGATGGCCTGGTTTTTCTTTTTTTTTTTTTCTTTTAAAAATTATTTATTTGGTGGTATATAACTATACAAGTGATATATATATATATTCTTTTTTTTTTCCTTTTTCTTTTTGCTTCGAAAAATTCAACCAAACGGTATCACAAAACAAGATGCTAAAATACCAACTAGTCTTCTGTCAACTATTTTTTATAATTCACTTGTTGTCTACTTTGTTTGGAGCTATCTAAATGCACATCATAAAAAGAAACCGATTCTCTTTAGTAGTAGTAGGTTCCGGGAATGAGAGAGAGACAGAGGCAGAGACACAGAAGCACAATCCAAGAAGCATTCACGAGACAATGTATTCTTAGACGACCAATCAACTATCGGTGATTGACTTCAACTATTATTGTTTTCTTACAGTGAAGTGCATCAGACATGTGTCCCCCTTTACTTTTGAAGCAAGTATTACTCCATCCGTCCCTTTTTAATTGTTCGCCTCATAAATTTTGACTTACATAAAATAATACTAATTTTTGGAAGAATAGGCACACACACAAATATAGACACAGACATGGGCGTTTTTTTTTTTTTTTTAATTTGCATTTTGGGAAAAAAAATTCATTTGTTCATTTAATTTCTTGATAAGGTTTATGGTTCTATGTTCTGCTTAGTAATTCCAACCAATTTTACCGTAGGCTATGGTTGGAAGCATGGAATCTGTATCTTAGAATTAGGATAAGAAAATAACTAGTTTCAAGTTCAATTCGCAATACAAGCATGGAATCTTTATCTTAGAATTAAAATAAGAACATAACTAGTTTCAAGTTCAATTCGCAATACAGATAAGTGCAGCATTGTAATATGAATCTTAAAAATTCTCAGATTGTAATACGAATCCTAAAACTAGTTGTGTTCATTATTAAATGATCTTCCATGAACTTCATTCCAACAGGGCTCCCTTTGTAGAACTGTTGTTACATTTTGTCTGGTATCAAAAGGGCATTAAAAGTGAAATTGGGATTCTTCAAATTTTTTTGTTTTCTTTTTCTTTTTTCATGTAAGTTTGTTCAATTATGAGTTGAATTTCAACTTCCTCTTTTGCTTGTTTTACACTACAGGATTGGTAATTTATCAGTGTCTTATAGTGAAAAGTTGCATTGTTGCCAGCAAATAACATTTTTGAAAAAAATCTATCATACAAAAGGAACACAGCTAACGCCATCAATGTGTTTTCAAATCAAGGACCGTAACCTAGTGGTATCTCCTCAACCTCCCAAAATCGATGGTTCAAGTCTTCTTGGAGGCAAATGGTGTATGAGTTTCTTGCCAAGGAGAAAAAACTATATGTTTTCTCATTGATGCAGGCATAGAATTGCTTGATTGTTTTGAATGGAGAAACTGGACTGAATCTACTGCCCAAATTGCTCATTGATGACGAGATTAGATATGATCTGCCATCTCTGTATGGCTTAACCTTAGCTCTCCTTCGATAAGTTGAACATGTTCTTTTGAAAAGGGCAAGGAGCCAAAGGCAGGCTTACTTCTGAATTTTGATCCTATGATCTGCTTTGAGGGTTGGCCTCAGAAAGCCATTGCTTCCGGCATTTACATCGTCCATACAAAGATGGTATTGGGATTTGGGAGTTGTATGTACTGAAGATCTATATACAAATTGTGGTGGTGTAACAGAACAAAGAAAACCATCTAGGTTGTTTTGTGTCTTGACATGAAAAACAAGGAATCACTATGAATTTTAGGTTATTTCTACTCTCATTCAAGAAATCGGGTACCTTGTGTCTTGACATTCATTTTTTGGGTAAATGCAATGCACAAAGTTTAATGGCTTGATTGCTTATTCTTCTTCTTCTTCTTCTTCTTCTTTTCTTTGTGTGTGTGTATGTGTTTTCTCTCCAAGTGGTTTTTAGACTACAAGGATGTATTTGATGGAATGATTTAGAAGTTTACGTAGCAGCAAAATAACCCTTTTTCAGTGGACTATGGTTTGACTTGTATGGATTCCTTCAAATATCAAAGAATTTAATTTGTTAATATCCATTTGACCATGAAAATGCAAAGATTTACAGTCATGGCAATGATTTGGCAACTGATTTAACTACATAAGCAGTATACAATTTAATATGCATGGACAGACTTTTACTCCATAGTGAGAGAGAGAGAGAGAGAGAGAGAGAGAGGGAGAAGAATACCAGTGGAGGAAAATGGTTCACAAGTTGTAATAGGTAGAGACCGTAGAGGAAGACATCAAGTCTCTCAAACCACCAATGGTCAGTAAGGCTTAAAAGCCTTAAATCAGGGGCAAGCAAGCTACAACAAATTTGAGTTTACAAACCAGTTAGCAGCTTATATGAAAGGAGGATGAAGAATATCTTATATAATCGTTTGTTTTGTCATCATCTCTCTATATCTTATTCTCATGATCTCATCCTGGGATAAAGCTATGTAACCATGTTAAGGTGGCCTGGCATGTCAACAGTAACAAAACAATTTGGCATTTCCAATGATATCTCCCTCAAAACATGGTAAGCGATTTCTACAAACTATGGACAGATATATGCATATTATATACATGTATCCCTCAATTGCTCCCAAAAATATGCTTCAAATGCATTTAAACTACTGAATTTAGCCACAAAAATAAAACAAAAAATATATACATCAAATCTTACCAATAGATGAATTCAGTATACGCCGTGGTCTTCATCCACCTAATCTACGACAGAAGTCCAAAACCAACCCCAACATCCACAAGAGAGCTTCCATATACCTGTCACACCCACACCTGTTCACAGTCAGAAGGCTCAAAAACCATTATGCACATTAAAGTATGGATTATCCATTTTATCAATCGGTCACCAAATCATCTCTTGAATTCAATGTGTCTCAAGTTGGCCTGCAAACAACTTGTACATCAATACAATTTTGCTGGCATGTTCCCCCAACTGCCGCCCAAGAAACTTTTTCAAGATCTTCTCTCTCCTGGATTATCTTTCCCCAGCCCCTTGTATAACAAGAAGTCATTTTTCTGCTAGATAAACTCCCATGAGGCCCAAATCAAAGCAACTAAGTCATATATTCACTTTTTCCCTTACAGATCAAAAAAGAGAAACATCAACATCTTCACACAACCGATCTGAAAAAGAAGGTGATTTCGATGTCCCTGCTGCAGCAGTTGGTGAAAACTTCAGGAGCAGAAAGCCTCTGCCAAAGAGAGGGCAGATAAAGTCGAGGATAGCTGGACATGCTTTTCATTTCATCATATCTGTGCTCTCAAAAACCTCTTCACACCCCAACGTTACAGAAGGAAAAGCAATTTGAGGGCAACAAAGAACAATGGAAATCATCAGTCTATCACACAGTCTATGATAATTGCCTTTTAAGTTCTCCATCTTCATCATCTTGTAATTTCAGCTTGAAACTATTGGTTCTAGTTAGCAAAAATTTTGTACAGCAGAACTTCGGAAAAGCTTAAAACTTCCATAACTGAAAATAGGATGGCAGTAAGTGCATAATTTTCAAGATAGATGCAATCAAAAAAACTAGCTCCAAAAGGATCTAGTAGCATCTTCCATTAAATACTATCCCACCTTCCAGTGTCATATATCCTACTGGAGGATGTCCCAAAAGAATTAACAAATCAATGATTCACAGAGCAACACAATCAACAGCAGTGTTTCCTTTCCAAAGATTTTATGTGGATTGATTGGTTTCAGTTGAACATCAAATAAAATAACATCCATCTAGAAAAAAGAATGCCAATGATTGTGCTAAGCCGCTGAGACGAACCATGTGAGTGACCACTTGATATATCAGTAATAATAATAATATACTATAAACTATATATTATTGCACCTCATCTAAATTGTTATCTGGATTCAATTCATAATTTTCCTATCTTCACTTGCTTGTCCAGAATTTAAGTTTCTGCTCATTTATTTAATAAACTCAAAGGAAATAAAACGGAATAAATATTTGAATTGTTTATATATCTGAAATGGTTATATCAAGCTATAAACTTTATACTCATTACATCAGAACAAGAACAATTTATTGGACTACAAACTTTAAATGCTCTAAAAGAGTGAGCACATAAATTTCCAAAAATATGAACTGTCTAAATTATGTTTGTTATTCATAAACCTAAAGACAATAAAATAACAGAATAAAAGCCTTTGAAAAAAACTCACCTGAATGAAAAATGTAACTTGCATATTCAATCTCTATCCCATCTTTAAAACAAAAACTCATGAAACTCTGAAAGGTCAACCTCATGTCGCTTCAATGTTTTACAAATTCTTTGTCATCTATCTCATTACTTGTTTCTTTAACTTGAGTTCCTCTTTCCACCAACCAACGAAAAACAATCTTGCTTCAGCTTCGCAATCTCGAAATATATGAAAGATCTCCCTCCAAGCCGCTAACTCATCTGTGACGAAGAGCAGATGGGCTACTTATTATAATAACAGAGAGACCACAAGTACACCTCTCCCTTCATTAGTTGGAGTATTATAAGGTATGACAAAATGGGTCAAAAAACCAACTCCATTTAAAGGTGGTGTAAACCCTTAATGGATCCCAAGAGTGCAATCCAAGGAACCCTCAACCTGCCCACCCCCCTTCCCAGCACGGCCCAATGGTTCTTGGTTGCAAGAAATATCAAGGTGTTTTCAATTCTCAATAAGTTCATATATCAAATGAAGAAATGCCATCCAGATCTGAGTCATGCAGTGGAAATATATGTTTGTTCAAACTCTGCAATTTGATATCAACTTCTGCACTCTCAGGGTGTGAACTATCGCAAGCAAAAAAGTAGTGGATGGATCCTCTAACTTGAATCCAACTACAAGCAGGTTCCTTACAAACCATTTTTTCCTTCATTTCCCTTCTCAATTTTCCAACAGCATTCCACATACCAGCAGAAGCATAGAGATTTGAGAGAAGAATATAAGCAGAGTCATTTTCGGGCTGCAATTCAAGAAGCTTTCTTGCTGCAATTTTTCCCAGATCAACATTTCCATGGATATTACAAGCTGATAAAAGAATTTGCCATATTTGAGCATCAGGGCAAATAGGCATATGATCAATGGTCTTCTTTGCATCTTCTAGAAATCCAACCCTACCGAGCATGTCAACTATGCAGGCATAGTGTTCTAAACAGGGGATCACGCCGTGACGTTCAAACATTGAGCGTAGGTAGAATTGTGCTTCATTCACTAACCCTGCATGGCAACATGAACTAAGAACTCCGAGATAAGTTATCTCATCATGTTTCATTCCCAATTCTGACATCTTCTCAAATAGATTGAGAACATCATAATAGCAACCACGTTGAGCATATCCCATCATCATGGCATTCCAAGCAGCCAAATTGTCTTTTGATATGTTCCTAAAAGCCTTCTCTGCGTCATCTATGCTTCCACACTTGCAGTAAGCATCGACAATAGCACTCTCAACAAAGTTATCCTCAATAATTCCAGTTTTTATGGCCAGAGAATGAATTATTCTTCCTTGATCCAGATCTGTTAAAGCACCACAAGCTTTAAGAATCATACTAAAACTTACGCTGTCAACTTCATGGGACAAGCTCCACATAGTTTGGAATAATTTCAGGGCATCAACATGGTAACCAGCACGAACAAATGTACCTGCCATGGCATTAAGATGTACCATATTCACTTCATCAATCTCCGAAAACACCTTCTTTGATTTATCAATCCTGTTGCATTTTCCATAGGCTGTTATTAAACAACACAGCATGGAATTATTCAACGCAAATCCGAGTTTAATAATTAGTGAATGTATTAGCATGGCCTGTGTCGAAGAATTTGAGTTGGATACACCGTCAAGAATGCTAGCAAGAGTATATTTATTAGGTTGTTGCAAGAAATCACGCATCTGAGAAAACATCAGCATTGCTTCACTAACAAACCCATTCTCGGAGTAACCAGTAATCAGAGAATTCCAGGAGACAGAATCCGGACAAATCAGCTCATCAAACACACGCTTGGCATCACCCATCTGCCCGCTCTTACCATACATGGAAATCAAGGCATTGTTAACAGAGACCACAAGCAAATGCCCAGCCTTGTAACTAAGTGCATGAATTTGTTTCCCAGGTTTCAACAACACTGGATCTCCAATGGTAGGCAAAACATTAGTCAATGTATACTCATTAATTTCCACACCTCTTGAGCAGCAAATTTTAAACATTTCCAGAGCTTCTACACCATCACAGGCCGCACCAATCCTCACCGTCCAAGATACAACATCTGGGTCAGAAATTTCATCAAATACTTTAACTGCATCAGCATTAGTTCCACACCTACAATACATATTCATAACTGCATTAGTCAAATGAGTTGAGCGCCCACATAAAAAGCCCATTTTTACGCTAAACCCATGAATCTGTCCACCTTCTTTGACCTCAAGCAATGAACCCAGCACACTAGTCAAGCTAAATTCATTCAATTCCAAACCCAAACCCTTCATTTCCATAAAAACCTTCCTACCTTTCTCAAGCTCTTCATTCAAACCATACCCATTAATCATAGCCGTCCAAACCACAGAATCCAAAACCAAACATCCCTCAAAGCACTTCTCAGCACTATCAACAAGACCCGATTTTGAATAGTTTTCAATGAGTCCACTGACCAAAAAAGCACCCGAATCAAACCCCATTCTGATGGAAACTCCATGGGCAATCTCATTTTGCTCCAAACTATCACAAGCTTTGATCAAAGAACTCAGTGTGTACACATCGGGCTTGAGACCCACTTGCCTCAACCCGTTGAAGAGAGCGAAAACGGGCTTGGATTGTCCAACCCGGGCGTACCCAGAAATGAGAGAGTTATAAACGACGGTGTCTGGATTGTTGGTGTCTCTTAGAAATTGGGTGGCGCGTGAGAAGTCGCCGGAGAGTGAAAAATGGGTGATAAGAGAGGTGGCCAGAATTGGGTCGAGCACGAAACCTGATTTGATGAAGAGGGCATAGGTTGTGTCTGTGAGGTAGGGGCTGTGAAGAGAGGTTGAAACTCTGAGAGCTTGTGGGCAGAGGTTCTGGATTATTAGGGTTTTGAGGGAGTTGAATGCGTGGAGGAAGAGAGAGTTGGTGAGTCTCTTCATACATGATCGATGCCTGGGTTTACCGTTTATATGAAACTGAGGAGATTCTTCTGTTACAGCGATATAAAATTATAGGGGTAAAGTGCCAAATAATTTTTTTTTAAAATACAAATAACTCTCCTTAACTTAAATACTACCCCAAACTAAAAGACTTTTTTTTTCATTAACTGGTTTCTTATTAAATTATTTTTATTTTCATTTTTCTTACATAAATATTAATTATACTATTTACTTTAATTTTATTATTAGTATAAATTTATTATTAAAAAAAAATTATAACCACCATTTTCTAAAATAATTAATTTATTATTAAAATTTTATTATACCCAGATTAATCTTTTTTACCTTAGAAAAATACAATTTTTTCATACATTATATTAATAAAAAAATTAATAAATTACTTAAATAAAAAAATACCTTCTTTTTCATGTAAACAATTAATTTTAAAAATTAAAGGTAATTTATGCAAATTTAATGTAGAATATGTCATCAAATTAGTATGAATTTTTTTCATAATTTATTTAAATAAGAAAAATAGATTAAGTGTAATTCAATAAGAAATGACATTATAGTCATTTAATGAAATATAGTCTAGATATTGGGGCATTTTGCAACAAAATATGATAGTTCGGGAAGTATTATTCACAAAATATAATTTAGGGGATTACTTGCAAATTTAAACATAGTTCGAGGGGATTTTTTACACTTTACCCTAATTATAGACACATGTATTAAGTATTAAATAGGCAAAAGTGCAAAAAAATCCTTGAACTATTTTTAAATTATAATAAATTTCCTGAACTATTGTCGATTGCAAATTGAATCCTAAACTATTAAAAAGTCATTTTTAGGCATTTAGAGAGTCAAAATTACATAAATTTTTAGGCATTGTCGATTGTTACGTTTGGTAAAAATGGAGGGAGGAATGGAGCCACCAACCAACCTTCCATTAATTTTTACATTAAAAAATGAGAGAGAGAAAGAAGAAAAAATTGATCTTTTGTTAGATAAATTTGAAAAACATCCTTACACTCGTTCTAATATATTTTTTTTAAGGTAAATTACAGAGACACCCATGAGGTTAGGTCATTTTTCAGCTAGATAGAGATTTTGATTTTAACTTTCACTTATACACCAAATTATTTTTTGGACTCTCACACATGCGAAATGACTCATTTACCCCCATTTGTTTACATATAATTTAATATAAAATATCTATAACATTAATTTTCAAAAATACCCCTACAACAAAACCCACCAAATCATACCCTCTTTCTCTTATCAAAAGTGCTCTACCAAATCCATTGCACAGTAATAAAACCATCTTGGATTCCGCCTATTACAGTGCCACCTCAAAACCGCCACCATCATCCCTATGGCAAGTGAAAAAATTCATAAATAAGTTCCTAATCTAATGTATAACACCATGTACACAGATATTTGGATCAATATGGATTGCCATTGAGTAAGGTGGGGATATGGGGTTCTATGGTTGTTGACTAGAGGTGGCGGTAGTGGGGCGAGGTGGAGAGGGGTTTGTAGTCAAAGATTGAGCAGGTGGGGCCGGATGCTGGCGTTGACGACGAGGATCTAAGCCATGGTAAGGACTGTGGCAGTACCGGCTCGGAGCTCCGTCGTGAGGGTGGTGTCCCGTCGGCCATTGCGCGTCACCTTAACGCATCACCGTTTTAGCAAGAATCACCATCAGAATCATAGCAGACAGAAGTCCACCATCACCAATGGCTTCTTCTCTTAGACCACGGTGGAGTGCAGATCTACTTACACCAACAGTAAGGGCGCGTTACGTTCACGCGTCGCCGATGGAGCTGCAAATTATGGTCTCGCTCTGGTCAGATCCTGAAGTGTCGGCGCTCTCTCTGTCTCATATTGCCGACGTAGTTGTGGTTTCTCACAGTGCCGCCACCACCGTAAACCTCCACAAGCCGTCGCCGCTGCAACCGCCGTTCCGAGAGATGAAAACAGAGAGGATCAGGAGTTTTAATTGGTATCAAAATCTCACCGCTGTACCAGTGGCCAAACGCAACTTAGGCAGGAACGATGAAGGCGTCGAAACAAATTGGACAACAGTTATCGGAAGGAGGAATGTTGGAGTCTCTGTAACTAGGATAGGGTTTGGATCGGAACTTCTCATTCTCCTACCTCATTGTTTCTCTCAGTAGATCGTCTCTCCACCCCACTCAATTCATCCACCACCTCGCTCTTTCTCTCTCTAAAAATGAAATTTTTTTCATCAGGAACGAGAACGAAATAAAGGATGTGATAAACCCATCACAATTTTAGTTTGGCACCCCTGGCTGTTTTGTATGTGTGTGTATATATCTATATACATATATGTGTGTAATTTTGTATATATATATATATATATATGCTTGGCTGTTTTCTATATCTGTATAGATATATATGCGTGGAGTTGGGTTTTGTGTGGTGGTGGTGGCGGCGAATCCGGTGATTGGGGATGATGATGGTATGATGGGGAGGAAGAAGAGGAAGAGGAAATTGTATGTGGGGTAGTTTGGTCACAAAAATAATCAACGAAAGGTCAAAGGGTAACATAGTCATTTAACACCTCAAAGTATTACAGTCCTACAAAAATTGACATTTGAGGTCTAAGTGAAATATTAAATCACTAATTCAAATATAAGTGAAATCTAAAATCAAAATGTTAATCTAATTATAAAATGACATAACTTCAGGGAGCCTGTGTGTAATTTATTCTATTTTTTAATATCTATTTTCTTCCATTCCACTCTGCTAAACAAAAAGTAGTAGTTATATTTTATAGTCTCTTTCATTTTTTTATTTATTTTTTATTTTTTATATCCCTCGTGTATATATCACGGTCGTTAGTAGTCATGCCTCGTGATTGACCATAATTAAAGGTTGTAATATTTGACCAGCTAATTTCATGTCATGTTTGTGTTTAACTTTTTAAACACGATAAACCCAATTAACTAAACGTGTCGTATCGTGTTCGTATCAAAAATGACTCATTTAGTTAAACGTATAGAATAAACATGTCTTATTCGTGTTAAAAATGACTTAAACGTGTCATTTTGTCTCGTGTCAAGTCCTGACCCATACTTAAACGTGTCTTTTCGTCTCATGTCAAGTCTTAACCCATTTATTAAACAGATTACACATATCACGTCACATTACACATATAATAATCGTGTCGTGTTCCCATTAATAATTTTAAATGTCCTATTCGTGTTTGTATCAATCCTATCATAGTTCACCAGATACAATAGAATCTGGTGCCAAGGGAGCATGGGGCCCAACTAGTAAACCATGAATCCTGATTACAGTAGTTCGTTAATATAAAGGTCACACCATTTGTCCAGATGCAGTAAATTCATGGACAGACCTACAAAGGGACTATTTCAATGAACATATTTTTCACTAGACATGGGAAGATGTGTTCACATATCAATATATAAAGAAGCCTATACATGTACAACTGTACATTTTTTACAAAGTACTCACTCCTCACCACAGTTCAATCTCCTGTGAAGTACTCTCTGTCCTGTATATGTATTTTTTAACTTGTTTAGCCTCCAAAAACGAGATTAAGGCATAGCAAATCAATTTGGGTCTTGAGAAAGTTGAACAAATGCATCTCGGACTATATTAATCAGCCGTTCATCTAGTTGTTCAAGTGCTCCAGAGTCGCGAAGGCGAGGATATGAAGAGGCTAAGTAATTTGCTGCAACCTCTACTAACTTCCATTGAGAGAGTCTATCAGCAATTTGAATTACTTTAAAAGATAACTGCCTCGCAGAATCCAAGCAAGATATAATCACCTTTGAGCACTCTTCATGAATATTTTCGAGAAGCCAGTAGTCAGCAAGCCAGCAAAGTTCTACATAAGGTTGCACTTCATGTACCTTTTCTTCAGAATCCAAATTATTCCATAAACAGCCAGAAATGGGCTTTGGCAATTCACCAGAATAAAACCAGTTACACAGTTTGACCAGCGCTTCCCAACTAACAGGTACCTTGATGGTTTTTGAATAACTGCAAGCAAATATTTCAACGAGTTAAAATAATAATAACAATAACAATAATAATATTTTTTAAAAAAAGTACAAAGCGCAGCTCAATTCAATAAGGCCTGAATTAATCCCGAGTAGTTGGAAACTACAATATGAATTGCACAAAATAATAATAATAATGGAATGTAATATAACATCAGCAACCAACGGGCCAGTGGCCTAACGGTATCAGCCTCTTACTCTCCAAAGGGAGGTCAGGGGTTCAAGTCTCAGAAGAGGCAAATGTGTGTGAGTACCAACTAGGAAAAAAAAATATAACATCAGCAAATCAGCAGAATTTACTGTATGGAAAAGAAATTCCTTAAACTGCAAGATGAACCTAAAAAATTAGTACGCATTTCAAGTGCGGATGAAGTGAACATCATCAACCCAAGAAAGGTTGAGCAAGCATTAGTAAGATCCTCTCCATCATACATGAGGTCCATGTTAAACAGACAGGGTTATTCTACATTGATTACCTCATCAGACATGATGTACCATCCCAATAAGAAAAATGTATGTTAAGAACTAGAAACACTACACAGAGCCTTAATTGAATTTGTAAAAAAAAAAAATTATATAAGAGGCCTGATTGATAACTGCAAGATACACTTTGGCCAATTTCTTATCGTCAACAAAAAAACATTAGGGAACAAAACAAGTAGTTGGAACAAAACAAGTTGTTAGAACAAAGAAAGGAAAAAGAGCATTTTTTATAACATTTTCTTGGAATTATCGAATATTTAAGAAAACATATGTTCTGGAATTCAATTACTCAAGCCATTTATAAAGTCAAGACAGCAGGAAACCACCATGAAATTTTTAGGTGAAAACAATCATTCCACTAGTTATAATTGAATGTAAAAAAAAATGAATTATTTTTCTCAATTCCTTTGCATACAAATTTATTACTCAACAAGAAAATGCATAAGCACCTTTCTTGCATTCCTGACTGTAACAAGGCCCGAAAATAATCACAACTTGACCACAATATCACTTTATGAGCATGCATGTGTGGCAACGTGAGGGAACAAACACTGCATGTCCAATGCATCACTTCAGTTGCATTAGCTTCCAATATGATGTCCCTGAAATTGGAAGAAACAATGAACTGAAATCTTAATTATTCAGAACAGGAAATAGGTATGTGACTCCTTATTCTTAATGTTCACATTTACTCAGTAAAGCATCTAAGAAATCAAGATCCCAATTATTGGGTCACCCCTACAACCAGAGATACAATTGGATTTTCCAGGTTTGATGATCCAAGACATCAAAAATCTTCTAACACTCAAAATGACCTGGAAATTTTCAAATGAACAAGTCACCTAACTATTCTACTATTTCCAAAGTGCAGTTCCAAGCCAATTTAAGAGATGTCCCTCAAGAGACAGCAATTTCATTGAACAACAGGAAGGCATACAGAATCTTATATGGTCTCCCTATCATGGCTCATCGTGAAGCCTCTTTGTCAAATGTAAAATCAAGGGTCAGAAAAGGAAAAGAAAAGATAATGTAGGGCTGTTAAAATATTGAGATGATGGTAAATGAATTATGAGGAGGAAAATCGTACGAAAATTTATGCCCAGCTGGCCCAAGAGCATAGGTAAGATCAAAGCGCGGGATAGGAGTGCCCCATTTTGCACTTCTTCTGGAAAGCATTTGCAATAGAAATTGCAAATTACAACGTTTAGCAATAGTTTTTAACTTCATCACAATGTCCACCCCTGCTTCCAAATATCCCAAGTAAACAAAGTCCAAAACCTTTGACAACGCCTGGCGATCCACACGAGCGGATAGACGAACTTCTTTCCTTAACCTTTCGGACTTCTCTATTTCATGTCTTTCTTCTTCACTGTGGGCTGATTGTTCTGGAGGCAGCAATGATGGACATCGAACCTTTAAAATTATGCCATGAACACTTATAGACTCTTCATTTTTAAGAATTAGTTCCAAATCGGCATATTCCTTCTCATTGAGTACTTTTCCAATCCTCTTTCCAAATTTACATGGAAATCCATAATATCCAAAATAACTAAGAATGTATGCAGCATACCATCTTGCTCCAGGAGTAGAAACATCAATATAAATCTTCTGGAGTTCACTAATTAACTGGGTTTCGTTAAGATCCTTCTGACTAGCAAATATGTCAGAATGACTTTTTACACAACCAGAATGGTGTATCAATTCAGCCAGTCCCCACAAACCAAAAAGCAAGAGCATGTCTTCATCTTCCCAATATTCTGCATAAGCCCGACAACAAGTCCTCTCATGAAAAATATTAAGCAGATGAGGGGCCATAATCGATCTCCTTACATGGACGTGATTGTGTAAGCACCACCTTATACAGCCCAACAGTGTCTTTATCCCTTGATGTTTGATAACATGCTTTCGGTATTGTGGTAGACCTGAATAACAAGCCAAATTCATCAAGTTTATGACAGTTTGACGTCTATCAGGGAATCCAAACGCGTTTCCAGAAGACATTACATTTAGATTATCCAATAAGTATTTTAGATACTCCTTGCTCTTAACTTCAAGCCGCAATACTTCATCCAGTATGGATCTGACTTGGGACGCAATGTACTTGCAGGGAGAATTTATCATCATAAGAACTGACCTAATTGCTGGTTCACTCTTAAACATATAGTCAATATCATTTTGATGTAACTGACATGTCTTATGCATCGAGTCCACGAAGGCCGAGCTGTGAAAAACACGACAACAACACAAATGAAACAGCGCTCAAAAGATCTATATAAAGACCAAGTGCAGCAGAATACAATCTCCTCCCCCCCCCCCCCCCCCCCCCCCCCCAAAAAAAAAAAAAAAACAAGAGTAAAGAAAAACCGAATAAAAGGTAAAGTGAAGAAGCAGAATATAAGAGATGATGATGGATGGGACTATTACCATGCACATGTCATAAGGATGTTAATGCAAAGTTGATTTCCGTACATCTCGGGATTGAAATCTTCGTTACAGTGTGCTGCAAGCCAACCAAGAATATCCCATATAAATGGTCTTAGAACAAGAAAATTTGCATTGAGCCCCTCCTGTGCTATGACTATCTGTTCTTTTACTGACAAGAAATGTTGAGATTGTTTGAATTTGTGGAAATTATTGAGTAGAAGATTAACTAGGACGTTGTCAACTCCTAGTCTCCAGAAATAATTGTGATGCTCCCCAGGCCAACGAGTGATTAGAGCCAAGCGACATGCTTCCATTGATAAAAACAACTGATTTCGTGCAACCTTTCCAGAATGGATACTCAAACTACTCATTACGCATATTATGGCTTTTATGATGGGCTCACAGCACATTTTCATCATTTGTAAACGTGCTTGTTCATTTATCTGAGCGATTGGTAATACACAAAAATTTATATGCGGCAAAAGGTACAAGTATCTAAACAAGAATGTGAAAAGTATAAAATTTTACCGATAAACATTGAGCTAGCTTAAATCCCTCAATCTGAACAGAATGAGAATTTGAGTTGTTCATGCAGTGCACCATCATATTTATAAGCACCTCCCCGTTTTCAAGAAGCTTCCGGGCCCCATTACCACATAATGCTGGTATTCAAAATCAATAAACGTTCTAATCCACAAGTTCAGGAATACAAGGTAATAATCATAATTTCGACAAAATTAAAAGAAAAAAAATTTAAATAAACAAATATCACCATAAAACAGGAATACCTATAGCAGAATACAACTCCAAAACTGCAACTTTAAGTGGACAATCAGGATTGAGAATGATGACCTCCAAGACTTTCATCAATTTATCATCATTCCAAACACAAAACCTGGAAGGTGGCCACCGCCACATTATTTTACTCAAAAGAGAAGCCATCTCTTCAAAATACTGAATTGGCTTGTTCCCACTAGAAAAATCGCATATATTACTGACAAGATGAACAACTGTGTTTGTTTCATCCAAGATTTTCCACACTTGATTCTCGTTTTTTGAACTTAGATTTGAGACTATCAAATTCAAAGCAGTGCCACATGAAACAGATACTTGCAGTTGATGGGAAGATAATAATGACGACAAAGGACGAACAAGATCTAACAAATGAGATGGTAGTTTAAGTAAATTTCTAACCATCTTTGGGGCCACCCTTAATGCCAAGCTCAATACAGCTTCATTTTTTAATTGAATAATACTCCCCAGTGCCTCAACCATATCTGCAACTGAATCCTGTAAGAGGAAGATAACAAAACCAGTAAACAATAATAGGCCCCAAAAAAAGGAACTCAAGAAGTACATAATCAATATTATTTTTACGGTATATATATCATATAATACTTATATAAACAGGTAACAGTCTACAGGAGGGAGAGAGAGAGAGAGAGAGAATGATTGGGATACTAGGCCAATGGCTATTATTTGAAATTCACAAATGTTGTAACACCACACTATAAACCTACAAGAAGTAATTAGGCTTCTTAGTCTCCAAAAGTTCTACATTCGAAAATGTTTCTTTCATGAGTACTAATGTTATCACTTTGGGTTTTGTTGTTTCATCTAAGGGGGTGAAATCTCTTCGCAAAAGGTGAAAACAATTTGGGAATGGCCCAAGTAATAACCTGTATGAAGTTCCAAGTTACTAGCATATTAATTGTATCACCATGTATGGGATATGTAACCAACACATCTGGTTAGATATATAATTGTACATAAAAAACTGTCATTATGTTTCTTTTGTTACCTAATTGCTTCGAAACAAGTTAAAAAGACTGCTGAATACTCAATTTTATATAAGACAAAAGAAATTATGAAATAATAGGGAATATGTAGTCAAATCCCAGTGTCCTTTGAATTGGCCACTCAATAAATCTGACAACTGATTCCATGTAATATGGCCCTTAGTCAATGCCACCCACAGATTGAATACACATTCGCCAACACTCAAATTTCCAAAATCCCATGTGAGGCACAGCCAGCGGGCAGTAATACAACCCCAAGTTTCAGCTGCAGTAACAGCTGATAATTATTAACAAAACAACACTTCACCAATTATACAGATCAAAGCACAAACTAGAGCCTACCCGTCCACGGGTAGAATGGTTCAAGCATTTAAAATAACTAGACAGTAAATGACATAACATCAAGAAACAGATGAAAAAGAAAAGATAAAAAAGAAAATTTTATGGCCATTCTTAACAGCTTCCTTGTAATACAATTGCAAAGGGAACACGGCTGACCAAGCTCCTTTTTCTAACAATTGAAAAAAGAAATCGGCTGGTGTTCTCCCCAACGCTCCAATAAACGTGCACACACCCCATCCCGTCTTGCATCATTTATTAAAAAGAGCTAGAATTGACAAGAGATGAGCTAAAGAGGTGGCCAAGCAGTTGACCAGGCCCTACCACATACAAACAGCAAGCAAGAGAATTGGAACATTATAAAACAGAAGACGAGGGTGCTACATTTGGATTTAGAGGACACATTAGTTACTAATGCCACCTATACAAATAATTTTTTTTCCGCAGAATCACCTTGTCAATTTGTTTCAAAGACATAAATAATATTGTTAAATACCTCTACAGTGGGTGCTGTGATGATACAATCAAGATTTGCATTTTTTAAAAATTTTTTTGATAAGTAAGAATTGCATTAATTGAGCAGACTACAGTTCTCTGTATCTCAATATCTGTACAGTGCATTTCCTTCCTATGTCATCATAGCATCTGCTAATGCACAAGAAAATTTAGGGACCACAGATTACGGAACTGACATTTAACATTTATATTCGACAACTTCACAGGATAGAAATTAGTCAAAATACCAGTAAGGCTTATGTTAGGAAACAGAAATATATATATATATATATATATATATATATATATATATATATATATACATACTAAGAAAAGAAAACCATAATGCCATTTCCAGATGGATTCACACCATTACCAGATGTAGTCATATAAACTGTAATAAATTTTAATACCTCAATTTCGAATTTTATCCATTTGTAGGTACTGATGAGAAACATCTTACATTGCCATGTATAACAAGACAAAAAAAAAACAGTATTTCTATGGTAAAAAATTGAGCCTGAAAATTCTGGCTTCATTCCGGTAATAATATGGCACACAATGATTTAAAACTTTTGGAGGAAACAGAACTTTGTTGTTACCTTCTAAATGGAAGAGTGCTCGGTTTGATAGAGAACAGGGACTGATTGTAAGAATAGAGGAAGTAGTATCAATTTTCTAAATTGGGGAAAGTAGAAATTTGGTTGACTGTGCTTCAACAAGATACATGTATATATTATTTATTTATTTTTTTTTTTTTTTGGGGGGGGGGGGAGGGGAGGGGGCAAATATATCCTCAAAAGAACAAATGAAAACTGACAGAAAGAGAGCAAAACAATATCGAAGAAAGGGAAAAACAGAAAGCCTGGGAGCTTCAGATCTTGCTCCCATTTTACTTTTGTTGATTGTGTATCCACCTTCTTAATTTTTTTTTTTTTTTTTTTCCTTTTCTTTTGTGGAAAAAATGTTTTGCTGCACTAAAGTCTGAAACAAGTTAATATTAACTTGCATGGTCCAGCGAGTAGCCCCTTAAATTCTTATGGTCAGCATACCTTGACAACCATAAAGATAAAGAAAAGGGAGGTAAAGAGCTACAGCTCCAAATTGAAACCTAAAGCTTAGGAAATCTTTCCCATGCCAAACTGGCATCTATTTACTGATCTAAGTTGCATGGACTTGGTGTGTGTCAGTGAAAATACGCGTCCAAGTGTCAAATTTATCATATCCAAAATTCAAAAATACAGATACATGATTAGATATTCAGAGGTTGTAATAGTTCTCCTTTATGTTTTAGACTAAAAAAAGGAGTCACAAAGGGGTACATTAACACAATAAAGGACATGTATGATGGTTGTGCGACTTTAGTTAGAACAACTCTAGGGGAAACAAGTAGATTCCCAATTACTGTAGGCTTATATCAAGGGTCAGCATCAAGCCCATACCTTTGCGCCTTGGTTCTGGATGAGCTGACAAGACACATCCAAGATGAGATTCCATGGTGTGCTATTTGCTGATGATATGGTTTTAGTTGACGAGAGTAGACAAGGAGTTAATGCCAAATTGGAGGTTTGGAGAGAAGCTGTAGTACTAAAAGGGTTTAAAATAAGTAGAAATAAAACTGAATACATGGATTGTAACTTTAGTACATCTAGAAATACAAATGAGGATGTACTGAGGATTGAGAATCAAGAGGCAAAAAAGTGAATATTTTTGCTTTTTAGGCTAAATTATTCATAATGAAGGAGAATATGGAGAGGACATTAATCAATCAAGGCAAGATGGCTTAAATGGAGGAGTGCACCTAGTATATCGCGTGATAGGCGTATCCCCTTATGATTGAAAGGGAACTTCTATTGCACTGTTATTAAACCAGCCATACTGTATGGCACAGAATGTTGGGCAGTTAGGAAAGAAGTTATGCATATAGTGAGTGTGGCATAAATGCAAATGTCGAGATGGATGAGCGGTAAGAAAAGATAGAAATAGAAATGATCACATTTGGGAGATGGTTGGAGTAGTACAAATTAGAGATAAAATGAAAGAAATTTGATTAAGATGATTTTTTTTTTTTCCCTTGGTACACAACCATGCCTCCACTGGGGCTTGAACCCCTAACCTCCCTTTGAGAAGTAAGATGATTTGGACATGCGCAAAAAAAAACCTTTATGCGCCAGTTAGGAAAAATGGCGTAGTCCACATTGAGGGTAATACTAGGGGAAGAGGAAGAGCAAAGTTAACGTGGGTAGAGTGTAGTAAGGAAGGATACGATAGCATGTGATTGACTGGGGTCATGGCCTTAAATAGAACGGAATGGAAACATAGAATTCATGTAGCCGACCCCAACTAGTTGGGGAAAAAGTTGATTGTTGTTGTTGTTGTACTTCACACTTCTAGAAATAATAATGTCAATGAAGGAACATACTGAGAAAGTTTTATTTACAATATATAATAAACTTGATTTATTGAGTATGCTTGTCAGGCACACTCCAACTAGACAAGCTGGATGTCCATGTGTTATTTGTCCGACACATGTACCTCTCATATTTTTATGGAGTCCTTGTAACATATCAGCCCTTAGTCAACGCCACCTGCAGAGTGAGTAAACATCACTTATGCATGGATGCCTCCAGCAAGAGGTGAATTTCCATAATCCATCTGCTGCACAGCAAGTGATAGTATCCAAGCTTCAGCTTGTCAGTAACAGCCAACAATCTTTAAATGAATACAATCTTGAGCGCATAACACTCCCACCAACTTCACTTATCAGAAAAAGAAAAAAACACTCCGACCAACTTCACCTACATCTCGGTTGCTCAATTTCAAATAAATACATCACATAGATAATCACTCAAGAATAACTGCTTAAGCTAGTCCCACCAATTATAACAAAGCAAATCAGAGCACCACGCCTGGAATGGTTCAACCATTTTAAATAACAAGACAAAAAACCACATGATGACAAAATAAAATTAATAAAATATATAAATAAAAATAGTTAAGGCCAATCTTAACAGCTTTATTGTCCAATGGTAATGAATTGGACCATCATAAAACATAAGGCGTGGGTGCTACATTTTGGACTTAAATGACAGATTAATTGCTAATGCTAAACAATACAAACATGTTTTATAAAATAAATTCATTCTCTTAATTTGCTTCAAAGGCTTCTATAATTGAGAGTTTTGAATACCTTCACAAGTGGGTGTTCTAATGTGTCAGTAGTCATACAATCAAGAAATGCATCAATTGAGCGGACTACAAGAATCTGTGTCTCAATATCTGTAAACTGCCATTTCCTCCCCGGGTCATCATTGTATCTGTTAATGGACAAGTCAATTTAGGGAATACGGTAAACAAAGCAAACATTTAACAATCATAAATGCGGACTACACAAGAAAATGACTTCACAAGTTCTATTGATAGGCTTAATGATAATTCAATTTGAAATTACAAGGTTGCAAATATCTTCACGGTTAATTATTGCAAACAATAGTCACATGATCCTAAAAATAGCTTCAAAGCATAATACTTTTGTCAGGACTATATAAACATTAATCTTAAGAATATGAGAGTAACTATTAAAGTGTTTCGCATAAGTGATGAATTGTATTTGGTTCGGGCTGCTTCCAGAAATGGGAAAGGGGTGTTGTATCAACGCCTAGTGCGGTGAAAAGTGTTAAGGGTTCTGCAATTTTCTGAACCAGCATGGGTAAGGAAATTAGCCCAAAATAGTAGGCCTGGGTTATCCAATATTATCATTCAAAACCAAAACTATAACCAACATTATTTCCTCTCTCTTTCTCTCACACATACACACGGAGAATTTGTGCACACACATATAAGACAGTCACTCAATTGGTTATACACACCCACAAATGCACAAAACATGCATACGTCCACCTAACTATCAAACACCCCTTTCTCCAAAACACCTGCACACACACCTAACTATCAAACACCCCTTTCAACAAAATACCTGCACACACAGACACTGAGACACACATGCTTGTGCACACGTGCACGAGAGAGAGTGGTTCATCATCGTACTCCTCCATCTACGGTTTTTTGTTTTTCAGTTTATTAATAAATCATCAGATTATCGTTCTCTATAACTAAAGGGTTCTTACCCAGTGTAATCCTCTTTAATCGAGGATATTGAGAGATGTGGACTGGATACAAACCTAATCTTGACATTATTCGCACAAAGTGACTGTTCACAGGATTCAAATTTGCCTTGTCACCATTGATAACCTGAGCGCTTTACCAATGCACTAAGCAATGGCCCTTAATATTCTCTCTAACTGAACTTATTTTTTATTTTTTTTACACTCCATGTCAGGCATATGATTGTTTAACTCCACTTAGGGCTACTTTTCCCTATGAAATCATAGTACTTTGGAACTTTGTTCTTGTTCAAGATGTTACTCGTTTCCTTGTAGCACCTGAATCAATTAACTCTTTCGTGGTGCAACCACTCCCTTCATTGCACATAACGGATCTATCTCGGTGGAGTGATGTTCTGCATTATGTGATCTTCACAATAATATTTTGTCTACTCTAGGGAAGCCAGCAGCAAGCAGCAGGAGTAATACTTAAGGAGACAGGCATATACATTGAAATCTGGACATACCTGCAGGTAGCTTTCAGACAGTTGTGCTTTCTTTCTTTTTTTTTGATAACTCAGATAGTGTGCTTGCTTTGGGATCCAATTTGATCAAAATTTACTTGTTGACTACATATGTAGTTTCTAAAAACATTGGTTATGCAGCATCAATTATGCCAGTATGGTATATATGTGGGAGACTTCATTTTGGGGAGGACTTAGGAGTTACAAGTGATTAAGAAATTTGGGTTTCTTTCAGAGAGTTGATGGGCAGAGAGCAAATTGCTTCTTGTTACCCAAATTATTTATAATAGTTGATTTAATCTCCCTCTTATTCTATTCCTGATGTGTTATAAGTTTTGCATCTACAGCCCTCATTTTTGGGAGGACTCTGGTTCGTGTGCTGTTGGTGCTTCTAAATGCACAACAAGTGGTAGAGCTTGATACACGAAGATCTCAACGACTCTCTATCATGTTTCTGTCTTCATTCTGCTTTACCTTGCATGCTTGATTAGAAAAAGAAGGATACCATGCAAGACATCTTGGACCCAGTTTTCTCACCGGAATCATGATCCTAAATTGAGTAATCAGGAGAATTCATATTTATTTTGTTATTGTCGAGTTATGCAAACCGGAATCTTGATTTCTAATCACTGACCCATCTTGAGAAGTCATGCCATTCACTTCATCACTCCCACCAGCTGCGATGCAGTAAAATTTGATAAACCAGCGATAACTTCTTTTTTAAGCAAACAAACCTGCACTTTGCAGCGCACGCACCACCACTAGTGCACCAAAAACCAACTGATCACTTTTTCGTAAACCAAAAAGAAGAAAAAGAAAACCCTAAATTCAATAACTACATTTTCAATCTGGAATACTGCCTTATTGCTCAAAACCACATTCAATTCAGAGTTTTAAACTCTCCAATCACCCACAAATCAATGCTTTAAAGCTGTGCATATTACAAGAATTACGTGATTTCCATAATCAGGACAGTACATCCAACTCAGAATTTCAATCACTTACATATTAATTCTTTCAGATAAGATATGATTAGTATTACAATTCTCAGAGAAGCTATGTATATTACATTTCAAGAATAACCCACACTCCAAAATCAAAACAATCCAAGCTAAATTGCACCAAGTGGCTATTATTCAACCAATAACACACCAAAATTTATTCAAGAACACTGACACGCACACAAAACACAAAGCAAACGTGAGAGAACTCAATTCAAAGAACGCTATACCTGTTGAGAGCAAGATTGAAGGCATGGTGGAGGCGATTATGGAGTTCGAACATCTTGCCGCTGATGGCACGGTTGTTTTCTTTCGACGACGATCTCATCCTTCCGTTTTTTTTCAGATTGGATTTTAAGTTTTGATTTGGGAAAACCATTCGATTCTGTACAACAATATCTTTTATATGATTGCAGAAGAGAGTCGGTTGCTGTGAGAAAAACTCACCAACGATCATATATTCATTTGGTTATGTTTTTGGTTTCGTTTCTGTATTTTACAGGTTTTGATAATCCCAAGTTGTGAGTTGGAACTGTTGTTATAAGAGAAAATTAAATTTTGGTTGTTATTATTATTATTATTTTAAAAGTCACTTTACACCCTGATTGGAAATAAATCTAATGAAATATAGGTATGTTTGGAATAAATGGGATTTAAAGGGAAAGGAATTCCATTTTTTTGGTTTGAATGTAAAAAAAAATTATAGGATGTTTGCTCTTGTTAATACTTATTTTAAAATATAATTATATAGAATATTTGTCTAAGTGTTTTATTTATTTACTCACTAAAAATGATAAATTGTATTAAACTCTTTTTTTATTTGCAGGGCTTTGTATTAAACAGTTTTATTTTTATTTTTTTCCCAAAAAAAAAAAAATTCCCAGCGAAGGTTACTTTTTGACCTTTTGCCAAAAATAATCCCACTAAGTTGAGGTTTTATTTTATTTTTTTCAAGTAATTCATCCAATTGTGTGAAATTTAGTGAAAATTTTGTTTATATTTTTTTCATAAAAATAATAATATTTAAACTTATATTTTCTATTACATGTATCACCATACTTTTAATTTAAAAAATAGTAAAAATTCATAATTATAAGTGCAATTATATATTATTTTTTAAACATATATGTAGCATAATTAAATCCTGCAATACACACTCTCTGTTCCAAAAAAAAATGTCATGCTTTCTTTTTTGATCTGTTCCAAAAAAATTGTCCACTGGCGTTTTTCAAACAATATATTTTACATCTTTTCATATATGTCCTTCGAGTTTAAAATTTTAAACTTGAATATTCAAAACTTAAAAAGGCAAATTAGTAATTTTTAAGGGATACAAAGCATGTCGTACATGTCCTCTTAAAAATTCCTAACGACATCTAAATTGGAACAGAGAAAGTATTATTTTTCTTCTTCTATTTAAAACATTTAATTATTTTTTTAATTAAAATTTATTTATGTCGATCTAATTATTTGATAAATATTCATTAAATTATTTTTTTTATAATTAAAATTTATTTATGTCGATCTAATCCTGCAAGCGAATTTTCCTCCCTCCTTACACAAATGTCCCATTTGGTAGAGGTCCTCGGATATGCCCCAAAAATGAGTATGCTCGACTTGTTTTTGCTCACTTTTCTTCTATCATACCGTCAAACGGTAATAAATGGGCTTAAATGGTAGTAGAATTATTTACAAGTATTAGAGCCCGTGGGACAAATCTCAACAGGCCGAAAGAGAGAGGGACCAATCAAATGGAACTACATACAAAAGCATAAGCCAGTACTTATTTACATGTATATGAGCCCGTGGACAAATCTCAACAGGCCCAAAGAGAAATAGAAATTATGGGCTAAGGGCCCGTTTATTAACGCTTTCACTTTTTTGTTTTTACTTTCTCAAAAAGTAAAATCATGATTTTAGTTTCTCGAACTGAAATTGAAAGTGAAATAATGTTCAATAATTTATTTTACTTTCAAAATTTTGAAATAAAAAAATAGGAAGTAAGTTTAATAATTTTAATTTTATTTTCCTGTTATATTTGTTTCTTTATTTTTTTGTATCTTTCTTTCTCTAAATTGATTACAATGTTTACTTTGCTTACTGCAAATTCCATCTCATCTCAAAGAAGAAGAAAAGCAGAATACCAATAGTAGAACAGAGAAGAAAGAGAGAGAAATAGAAAGAGAAAGAGGAAGAATAGAGAAGAAAGAGAAAGACAGAGAATTCCCGATACATCATTCTTTCTTTCTTTGGTCATCTTGTGTGTAAGAGATGGGTAACACATAAAGGCTTCTTGCGTCTGAGATGGGAATTATTGTGTGCCAGTGCCGGAATCCATGGAAACCAGAGCCTTGAATTTGGATCTCCCTCTCGGAAGCCAGAATCCATAGACAAACTTACTAGGACTAGATTTTTGGAGTATGAATTGCTTGTGGATGTGAATTTGGGTCTCCCTCTCCGATGCCCAATTGCCGGATTCTTTGCTCATATCGTCACAGCCTCGTCGTCGTTTGATCTGCCAATAAGTTCAGTCCGGCCTTATATTGGAGACATTCCTTGCCGCTTCAACACCTCCACCATCACAAAACCCTCACTCACCATCACCCCTCTCTGCGAATCCCATGCCGGCCTTGTCGTGCTTACGCCAAAATTCTGTTGGGTTTGTGGCTCAAAATTTGAGCGCAGAAAATTAGTTTCCTTTTTCGTTTTGGAAGCTACGAGAAACAGTTTCCTGATTGGTTTTGGAATCCAGAAGACTTGGGAAAAAAGGCTGAAGATTTGGGAAATAAGTTATACCTGCTATTTTAGAGTTGAAGATGGATATGGTAACTCCTTGTAGGTAAGTTGATCCTTGTCCAATAAGGAATTGGATTTGAGGAATACTTGTCCAACAAGGAATTGGGTTTTGAAGACTCTATAAATAGAGATGGGTAGAGGGGTTTAGAGTAGATAGAGAAGAGAGAAAATATGTAAGGGGTTTAAGGGTGAGTGTTGTGAGGAGAAGGGGGAATATACGTAATTCCTGATTGTATAAATGTAGCCTCAAAATAGATGATGAGTGAGTGAGTGGGGGTTTTGACATATGGTTGTATATTCTCTTCCTTGATTCATAATAGTGAAATCTTTCTCTCTCATGGATGTAACCCTAGAGTTGGGTGAACCATGTTAAATATTGTGTTATGCATTGATGTGTATGATTGTTATCTCCATATATGCTTGTATTGATGTGATGTGATGATGCTTCCACTGTGTGTAATGAAGGAGAGATTTAACTCTCAACAACAGCCGACCGTTGAGTGGGTTGGAGGGAGTTAATTATCCCCAACAACTGGTATCAGAGCCGATAGTGGGTCAGAGCCTGTGATTGGTCCTGAAGATTAGTAAAAGAAGATTGCTGCGAAGTTTGTCAGAGCAGAGGATGATAGTGAGGTGCTATGGAGATTTAATCAAAGTTGATGATGACACGAAGATATGAAGAAGGTGATGGTGTGAAGCCCATGAGGAACAAGTCTTGTGGCAAGCCAGAGGATGCTCGTTTTCAAGATGGGGCAAAGGTGATAGAGGTGAAGTCCATGAGGAACAAGTTTTGGGGACAAGTCAAGAGTAGGTGCTAGTTCTCAAGATGGGGCAAAGGGTGTGAAGAATGAAAGGGTTTGCTCTAAGCCCGATAAAGAGCAAAGGGGAATATGAAGGGGAGTATGTTGCTTTAAGCCAGAAAAGCTTTTGATGAAGATGAGTTGAAAATTGATTGGTTGCCATGCGTGACAATTGAACACCAACGGGGTGGATAGATAATATAGAAAAAATTAAGAATAATGAATTTGAGAAAAGGTGGAGATTGTTAGAGTGTTTCTCAAGTTCATCATAATGCTTTATTTAAGGTGGAGAAATCTTCAGTTGAGGTGGAGCTATGAAGAGATCCTTGTTCAAGGTGGAGCTATGAAGAAGCACGCGAAGATTGAATTTTGAGCCAAGGTGGAGATTATTGGGTTTGTGGCTCAAAATTTGTGCGCAGAAAATTAATTTCCTTTTTCGTTTTGGAAGCTGCGAGAAACAGTTTCTTGATTTGTTTTGGAATCCAGAAGACTTGGGGAAAAAGGTTGAAGATTTGGGAAATAAGTTATACTTGCTATTTTAGAGTTAAAGATGGATATGGTAACTCCTTGTAGGTAAGTTAATCCTTGTCCAACAAGGAATTGGATTTGAGGAATACTTGTCCAGCAAGAAATTGGGTTTTGAAGACTCTATAAATAGAGATGAGTATGAGGGGTTTAGAGAGAGAGAGAGAGAGAGAAGAGAGAAAAGATGTAAGGGATTTAAGGGTGAGTGTTGTGAGGAGAGGGGGGAATATATGTAATTCCCGAGTGTATACATGTAGCCTCAAAATAGATGATGAGTGAGTGAGTGGGGGTTTTGACATGTGGTTGTATATTCTCTTCCTTGATTCATAATAGTGAAATCTTTCTCTCCCATGGACGTAACCCTAGAGTTGGGTGAACCATATAAAATATTATGTTGTGTGTTAATGTGTATGATTGTTATCTCCATATATGCTTGTGTTGATGTGATGTGATGATGCTTCCATTGTGTGTGATGAAAAAGGGATTTAACTCTCAACAACAGCAGACCGTTGAGTGGGTTGGAGGGAGTTAATTATCCCCAACAAATTCTAGGGAGCTTGCAAAAACCAAAGAAGATTTCAGATATGGCGATGATGGCGGTGGTTGTCAATGGCAAGGGTCTACTTTCGGTTTTTTTTTTTTTTTTTTTTTTTTTCCCTGTGACTAAAGTTGATTTGGGTATATTGTTGATGGCTTTTAATGTATATGAGAGAGAAGAGAGATGGTTGTGGCAGTAGCTATGGTGAGAGGAGGTGGTAGTGCAATGACCATGGCGGAGGAGATGGTGGTGAGAGATGGTTAGAATATTTTTTATTTTTATAAATAGTATTACAGTAGAGAAAGTAATTTCTATGAACAGTGTAGAAAATAGAGAAAGTAAGGATTTCTCACTTTCTCTTCTCTTCACAAAATTAGAAAGTACTTTCTTAAAGTAAAAAAGTGAAAGTATTTTATTGAACATGATTTTTACTTTTACTTCACAATTTTAAGAATTGATAGAAGAAATCAGAAATCATTCCTGTTAGTAAACATGCCCCAAGAATAATAATACCAAGGAGACCAAAAGCATCAAGATGAATAAAATAAATCTAAGCGGCACGGATAATTTTACGATAGTAATGTTAATGTAACTGTATTTATCGATTATGTATCGAATGTTAATATTTTTAGGATACTCGCGAATGCCTGTTCAATATTTTTTAAATGTATCCATACTTTTAAAATATATTTTAAATTTTTTAACATGTATCTGATACTTCTGAAATACTTTGATGGCATATTTGATACTTCATATTACATTTTTAACAAATTTTGAACATTAAAATATAACTTCTTCAACAAAAATAACATACTATAATTGATGAGAAGAGTTTAGACTTTATTAAATGATGACCTGTGAAACTAACTC